AGAGTTGGTCAAAACATTTTTCAATCAAGTTGCAGGCGCACAGCCGGCACACAAACGCACAGTTTGCCAAGCTAGAGAGACTAATTTTGAGTCTTTTTTCTTTATTTTTTTCATTTCATTTCTTATTTTTGGCTCACTTACACATGAACACTTTCGGTCTCCACATTTACACTTGTTTGACCAGTTTGCCAATTTTACTTTTCTTGCAGCTAACAAGTTTTGTGGAAGGCATTTGTTGCCTTTTTGTTTTTGTTTTTGAATTTTGTTTTTGCACCGAAACTAAAGAGAAAAACCACTTACCACTTGCGCCGATTGGAAAAACTTGCCAAACGTGTCTGCCATATATCTCATTGAGGAAATGGCTAAGCGTCGCAATCAACGCGTTGCGCGTTGGAAAAATGAAAAAGAAAAGTTGTTTGCTTATGGCCAACAAAAGTCGGGCGATGCTCGTAGTTGTAGTTGTTGCTGTTTTTCATTTTCTTGGCCAAGAGCTACGTGTTGGCCACATATATATTTAATTTTTTTTATTTGCAACAGCAAACAGCGAAAGTCGTTTTCAGCTTGTTTATTATTTTAGTAGTTTCTGTTTTTGCTCATTTTGCAATGTGTGCCAAATGTGCAGCTGGCTGGCTGGCTGGTGAGGTAGGTCGGTCATTCACAACTATAATACCCGCTAGACAAGCTGTCAATATGGAAAGAGATCAAAATAAGCTCATTACTTATGATCCTAACTGAACGTGCGAACGCTGGCAATGTTACGATGCCGCTTTGTCCATTTATGTAGATTTACAAATGGGCATAACTGAATTATAGGCGTAGAATTATTTATAGAAAGCTAATATTGTAATGGTTGCATTCGACATACAGGCTTTTCTCATCCATCAGTAAATCCGCAACAAAAAGACGTATTATTCATTCAGGTGATTTGTGTGACTGACTATTCCACTAGTTAAATATGCATTTGGACTCCCTGCTCGCTCTTTTCTGCAATCATCTCAAAACTTAAAGACTTAACTAGCTGTACTGAAAGCAATCGTTGCAATTATAGGTGTCCCAAGGTAATCGCTAATCACATTTTACTTAAGCTAGCTAATTAACAAGTAAGCATGTAGCTATGCATCTGGTTCTGTTTTGTGCAAATACAATATCTATGGCTATACTAAAAGTCGACAATCAGCATATTTTCACTCTCATTCCCTCTACTGCCATATGCCTTCTGGGCTTTACTCGTAACTGAGACCCTAGCTCTTTATGTTTTATTTCTTTCTCTCTGGTTTTTTGCTTGTTGTATTATGCTCTTCCCCCAGCTTCTAGCTTTGTTTAATCAGTCACTCAAAATATATCACCCCTAGTAACAGCAGCACGTGCAGGAGGAGCCGACGCCAAAGCTACTTCACATTGTTAGCTCTTCTTTTTTGTTGTTGCCATTTTGTAGGTCAACTGGCAACCGTTGCTGATCGCCCATCCACCGTGGCTTCTGAGCGTTCGGGGTCCAGCAGCGAACGGCGTAGCTTGGCAACTGTGTGGCTCTCGCTCCCGGTGTTTGCTCAAAAAATCGTAATGTTTGCTTGAGCATTCAGTTTAATTACCCTTTTTAAGACCTTTGCAGTTTGTTTTAACATTTTACGTTTTTCTGTGTAATTTTCTTAATTTCACACACAGTCAGCCGGCAGAGATGGTGAGGTACAGAGGTAGTGGCGAAGGCACCCATCCAGTCAGCCTTCCTCCCACTGAGTGCGTCTCCACTCTCCATTCTCGCCTCTTTCTGCGTATTTTTCATTATTTTGGCGCATTTTAAGTAATTAAAATCCCTCGCCCATGCAAAGAGTGAGAGCACGTAGCTTCATATATCTGTATGTGTGTGTGTGTGTGTGTGAATGTGTGCGTGTGTATGTATGCATGTATTTGTGCGGTTTTGTAGTTATTTCAACTTTATTTTCATTTTACTATCGATTTTTGTGTGGTTTTTTGAACGCAATTAACCTTCTTTTCTCTTTTAGTTAAGCTTCAAACGCTGCCTCAGCTCTTAGCTTCGACTTGTTTTTGAGTTGTGCGAACTAAATGAATATTCAAGGACTTTAGCCTGATGAGAAAATTGTAGCTGTTGCTGTTGTTTTTGCAGCTACTACTGCTACTGCTCGGCATTTATTTGTTTGTTTGCTTTGATGAGTTTTCTTGCACATCCAACGCCTTGCCTCCAATGCCACCTCAGCAGCCATCATCAGCAGCAGCTACTGTTCTGTGTTTTGTGCGTTTAGATGTATGTGTGTCACTTTTCATTTGTTTTTGCTTTGCTAATCCCTGCCGATAATTTGATGCGGCGTTGTTGAGGCATTTCAGGATTGTTGCAAATATTTGCGGCATTAAGATTAGTTGCTGGGGCTTGTTATTTTTGCTTGTTTTTTTATCCTCAGAGAATTTGTGGTTAGATTGAAATCTATTAGTAAAGCAATGCGGTAAATGTGTGCTGTTGTGGCTTTGCGCTAGATCATCGGCATTTAATTTAAATTAAATTGAATGTTAATGACACCAAATGGAGCAATGGAGAAGTTTGTTTAGTCAGTCAACTACTTCATGGCATACAACTTAAATATGTGCTATAATTTTTGAAATATGCTAGTTATATTAGTGTTAATCATTATAAATACAACATCTTACTACGAATTATTGTTTTTAAATACTCCAGCGGCTGTTGCGCAATAGTTTGCATTATGTATTATAGTTTTGGCTGTTGTCCTCTAGTGTTTTGATTAAAATGAAAAGTTTATCCAAAATATTATAATATTTATTAAAAATTAATCTCATTTTATTAAATGAAATGAAAAAATGTATCAAAAATATATATTTCAATTCCTTCTTAATTTAAGCTTATATATGTATATGTATATATTTAGCAGCAGCTTTGAATCTAATTATAAATTGTTGTTTGCTTTAATTGAATAGAGAATTATTTTAAATACATTTTTTAGCTATGGCAACCAATTTCTCTTTCCATTCTCTTTCCATTGCCGTTTGATGCAAACGTACTTATAAATGCATGAGCCGGAAATTGCCAAACGGTATCGAGTTCTCATTCATTCCGCACAAATTCTCTGTCAGCAGTTCTCATCTATCAATAACAAGCAATAACATTTATTATCGTTAAATCTTCTTAACCAAAATCAAGATCCACCAATTCGGCTTGCCACATTTTCGAATTAATTGATGCCCGGAAATTAAAACACAACAGCGACATTAATGCTGCCGCCGAAAACACTCGACCATCAACCAACATACACAGCATACTCAGACAGTTGGTGGCACAGTTTTTGTGAGTGGTCCAACAACTCCAACAACAGCATATATCCGTTCATTGAGTGGTGCAGCAACTCAAAGGCCGCTTTGCTATTTGAGCTTCTGTGCTCGTTCCATGTGCTTCGTTGTTGATTCGCTTAATACTTTTAACGTTTGATTGCATTTAATGCTTTTGCAGTTGCCTTGACATCGTATTTAACTGTGGAATAAGTGGACTCAATGATGGACAAAAGTAGAGGTGCTACGTTTTTAGAATGAAGAACCATTCAATAGACGACTGTTTTGATAAAATAAAGTAATAAAGTAAGGGTAAAGTTTTCCATAGATCCTAAATAGTAAAGTTTTCCTTCCAAATGTAACAAGAACATTGAAACATTTAGTTTTCCGAGATGCTTCCGTTCATGCAGCCAGACGAAAGAAAAACAAAATACACATAATATAATAAAATATAGTATATGAAATATTTTCGAATAGGCCCACAGTCCAACAAGCAATGGGAAACAGTGAGTCCAGGGCACAGCCAGTGCCGGTCCTCGCTATTTTTGTGCGCCTGTGTGTATGCAATGCATTTTCTTTTAATGCATTTACTGTGCAAGTTGAACATCTTAAATATGTGTGCGTGTGTGTGTGTGTGTGTGGTGTGTGCATATGTATTTATATAATTGTCTGTGTGTGTGTATGTGTGTGGACACATGCCTGGCGACGATGTTGTTGGATAACATGTACTTTTGTGGGCGTGTGTCGAAGTTGAAGTGCAAGTGTAAAAGTGGCAGCCAGTCGGCTGCCAACCAAAGAGAGTTGTGTATGGCAAAAACATATTTATTTTGGCAGATGGACTGGAAAAATGGAAAACGAGATGACGTGCTATGGGATGGAAAAGGGACCATTCAGCAGCAGAAATGTAGAGTTTTCATCGTGCCAGCAACTTGCGCAACATTTTTAATGCATTTATACACACACACACATGCATATACGTTTTTCAAAGTAGCAACTTGGACCCAGACACACGCATATATGAATTACTTATGAGAAATTTGGTCTGTCTGATGGTTTAGAGTGCGGTCTGGCATGTCTTGCTTAATGGAGTGTTGTGTGCTACTTAGTTAAAAATTGCGGCTTTAAGTGCATGTGGGGTAGCTGTGTAGACAAAATAATGCCGTGTCTTGCTAGAATTGTTAATTAATGAGCAATTAAGACATTTAGAAACATTTCTTTTTCCTAATGGCGTTTGCATCAGAAGGTGTTCAAAAATCTAGAATAAATCCATATTAAAAGAATGAAAATAAATGATTTTACCAAAATGTGTTATCCGCTATTTATAGTATCTATATTTTTCATTTAATTTCACATGGCCATACTATTGAGTAAAGTAGAGCCAGTTAATTGAGGATAAATTGAACTCTTGTCCAAACTTAAACCTGTTCTAGTAAGCAAACTGTTTTGCGTTCATCACAACATAAAATAAAACAATTAAGGTTTGTTGATCCAATTCATGAAAATAAACAAATCTATTTGTATAAATAAAACGAATAAAAAAACAAAATAATGACGAATAATAATAATTTAACAATTGATAAGTAGTTATTTATAATAGCATATGATTTATTATTATTTATTTATTTATTTATTATTTTTAGTTGCAAGACAAAATAATAAAACAATTTCTTCAAAACTAATGAAATTTCATTTTCTTTATTGTATTACAGGTCGCGAAAGACTCAACGAATACATATCCCACTTTGAAAAACTCAACTATGATCTGCAGAACGTTAGAGCTAGTCACAATAGAGCGCGACGATCAGTGACCAAAGATCATTATGTATATTTAAAATTTGGAGCACATGGAAGAGACTTCCATCTTAGATTAAAACGTGATTTAAATACTTTTAGCGATAAGTTAGAGGTGAGTATTATTATTTGCAAATCCATTAAAAAGTGAGTGCGAATTGATATTTTATTTTATTTCTTTTCACTGCAGTTTTATGATAACAATGGCCCCATTGATGTCTCTACGGATCACATCTACGAGGGCGAAGTGATAGGGGATCGTAAAAGTTATGTATTTGGTTCCATACACAATGGGGTATTCGAGGGTAAAATTATAACGGAACGTGATGCCTATTATGTTGAACATGCCAAACATTATTTTCCCACAAATCGTACGACGACGACGACGCCGAGAAGCACAAAATTCGCGCCGACGACGGAGTCCACAGCTCCAATCAGCAACACCACCACAACCACAACCACCACCACTACCATTAGTAGCACAAACACACAAGCACGGCCCTGGGCCCTACGTAGCAGCCACAGCAACAACAACAACTACTACAACAACAGAACTGCCGTTGATAATAAGACGAAAAATGTCATAAACAAAAAAGCTGAAGCTGAAATCACAGCAACATCGTCAACATTGCCAAGTCCTCAGCGTCGGAAAATGTCTGAGTCCATAGCGTCAACGCCAGCACCAACTGAACTGACTGAACAAGAAAAGCAGAAAGAAGAAGACAAACTTAATTTTCACTCCATTATCTATAAAGAGTCACATGTCGAGGATGCCTACGAGAATGTGCGTGAAGGTAAGTCGCCTCTGTCAAAATTTAAAAAGAAAAAACACTCTAAAGAGCGCAGACCGAATAAGAACTCAACAACTTGCCGATGCAGAAATGAAAAATTTGCACATATATTGTTGAGAATAAGAAAATCTTTTCAGTTTATGATTTATTTGGCGGGCAATGCCAAAGTTGAGAGCTTTATTTTTCACACAACTCAACCTTGAAATTGTTTGATAACATTCTGGTTTTCTCTTGACACCTGAGTTATGGCTGTCGTTGCGCTGGCTAATAACTTAACTTGTTCTCCAAGTCGTCTGCTGGTGGCCTCAAATGGGCCGTCTGTTCGCGCAGACATAGAGAAATAGCTTGCAAAACTTTAAAGTTATGCTTAAAGGAGCATACGAAGACTTAAATTCTCTGCTTTATAGCAGTCAGTTTCTTAGGAAATTGGTGTGAAATTTGTGATTAGTGCGTTTCAATTTGGTTGCATATTAAACTTTTCCGACCTTAATAAGCAATAACGTCTTATAAGCGGAACGACTATTACATAAAGCAAATAAGCATTTAAATACTATAAGTTTTCATTAGCTTTAACGATTTTAGTGAATGACTAAAGTGAATGAAAGCTTGGCAGCATATGGTCTTAAAGCAAAAATATAAATAGAAGCAAATTTTTCAAGTCATCAGATTTTGTTTGCACCAAAATAAATAATTAGAAAGGTTTCTGTCACATCAGCTTTTTTGTTTTTACCAATATTCGATTTTTAAATCGGCCAGAAAAACCAGACTTTCTTAGAATATAAACTCAACTTTACTAAACTTTATTTTAAATATAAATTTGTATAGCTTTTATGCTTTCTTACTAATTACTTTCTTACTTTATTTTATTTGATTTCGCTTCAAAAAGTGAGCTTTTCAATGTTTTCCTTTCCAACAAACTCTAGAGTCTGTAAAATGCAGTAAAGCCTATATCCTATGAGCACTTTGAAAAGGCGATAATGCCAGCTTCTTCCAACTGAGCCGATGATGTCAAACAATAGTCCGAAGTACTCGCCGCACCCCTAACCAAAAAATTCATTTTCTTAATGTGCAACCAAGCAGGCATGAAAAAATTTTCTGTTGCCAGTTCAGTGGTCAATTTTTTTTTTTTTTTTGTTCCCCTTTTTATTTTCCATAGAAATGCAACAAAGTGAACGCAGCACAAGGGCGGTTGGCCCTGTTGCAACAATGACACTGACAATGAATGTTGCAACAACACGCGCTACGGATGCAGAGTTGTTGTTGCTGTTAATGTTGTTGTGCATGCAGCAACTATGACGAAATCAGCTTCTCCTCATACATGCAAATAAAAATATCTCTGCACGAGTATGTGTGTCTGCCACGGCTGTAGAAAACTCTCTCACGCCATGACAAAAGCGTTGCATATTTGCGCTGCGCACACACACACAGACACACATACTGATGCGTGCATGTGTCTGTCAAGTTGTTGCAGCAATTGGTTGCAAGCAACAAAAGAGTTAAGAGGGAGGGAGGTCGTCAGCGGCGCCAGAGGGGAGTCAAAATCTAATGCATAGCTAAACAACTGCTGCAATACAATGCTTGCTGAAATGGGAGCAGCACCAACGAGAGCGCTTTGTTACTTTTCCCATGCCCCCCCTCACCCACACACCACTTCACTCAATCCACTCCCCCTGACCCAACCGTGCGCCCCGTTTTCTATTTTTTCGACAATTCTGCAACAATAGTTGTTGTTGCTAGCATGCAAAAATTTTATGCAATTTGACACACACACATGCGAGTATATATAGTATAGTATGTAGTACGAGTATTGTATACACGCACAACTTTTGTCAGGGGCGTATTTAGTTAAGTTGAGTTTGTCTGTCCCTCTGTTTTGTTTATTTGTGCGAGTACATTGGTGTTTGGGGGAGGGAGGGCGTTGGGGGGCGTTCCTCAAAAGCCACCTTCATGTGCGCTGCCTGTTTAAATTGTTGTTAGTTAGGCGACAATTGTTGCTGTTGATTTTGTTTCTATTGTGCTACTATACTCGTATATTGTGCATGGCTTGCACATTTTGCACATTTGATTGATGCATTTCACACGATCCGCTCGCTCTATTAAATTGATAGTTTAGTTGTATTTAGTTATGTAAATGCCATTTAGGTTAAACAGTTGGAGGGGCGGGTGTTTTTGAATTCATGAAGCGCTTTGAGCCATTTAATTAGCTCACTTGAGCAAATGACATGTTTGTGTTTTGTCAGTTGGAGACAAAACAACAGTTTGCATAAATAATGCTAATTAAAAGGTCCTGCCGCAAGTAATTGCTCACGAAACTCCCTAAAAATATGTGGAAAGTGGTAAATCACCACAATTACCTCATCCCTCAAAACTCTTCCTTGCTTTATTTTGCACTATTATTGATCTCATTAAAAATCACTTATTTTCTGAAGCAGGTATTTATAATTATAGCAAATACTTTGCGACCAATTTCTTCAGATTTTGTTATTGCAACATTACAAATGAGATGCAAAGAATATTATTGTAAATAATATTTGTAAAATATTGTAGTCAGGACTTTAATGCGTGCGCTTCACTTCAGCTCTCAATCCAAACTGACTCGAGCATTATTTTATTCGTTTATACTCTCTTATTCTATGCTCTCTCGCAAACATACCGAGAGCATGTTTACAGTTAATCTTAAATGTATGTATGCAGATGTACAGTGATCTTAGATGTTAACAATGTTGCTACAGTATGTTTATATACAGTGGTTTTACGTAATAACTATATTGCTACAATATCACATTCAACTTGAAATATTTTTCAGTTTATTATCAAATTAGTAGAATATACAATTACCCTTTGGGCGTATGGCGTAATTATTAGCTTAACTAACTGAATAATACAAAAAGCTTTTATTTTAAAGTATTACTGACCAACAAGTACTTCAATATCTTAAACAAAACTATTTCCACTACAAGTTTAAAATTTTAAGGAAACGCACTGCAGTCACATTATGTTTATGAAGAAAATGAAACTGAAATTCATTGTTGTCATATATTTTTTACTCTGCACCCGTGGGGTAACGGTTTTGAAAAATATGAAAGGGAAGGGCAGTATCTTCGACCCCACAAAGTAGCCACAAATCGATTTAGACATAAATTTTTCAAAGATATTTTGAAAAACAACAACAAAATGCACGAAATTAATGAAAAACTGCACTGCTGACAAATTTTCTTTCATTCGTGTAACACCAATATCTCGTTATTGCCAAAAAGATTGTCTGCCTTAAAAACATATTATATTGAGAAGTAACATTAAATTCACTCAAAAGAAGTAGGAAATTGTCGTACGATTCTTAACATCAAAACTGATCCATGTTAAGGAATTTCAGTACATGATGAAATTATTGCCTAAAACTCATCATCTATTTAGGGTCTACATACATATTCGCACATTTTCTTCAACTGTTTAGTTTGAATGTTTGTTTTCTTGACCCCTTGTACTCTTGCCAGTCCTTGTTTGAATTTCAATGCCCCCTGACATATTCAGTAATCCCCTTTACACCCCCTACACCCCCTTTACTCGCCCCTTATTTAAACTGTTCAACTTTATTAGCTGCTCTAAAACACGCACGCCACTATGTCGAGGTGTTTACGCTTCTGAGTTTATCAGAAATGTAATGCACACATTCGCACCCTCCATTTGTCGTAGTTACTGCTACTTTTTAATGCCATTTAGCAGCGTATTAACTTTTGTGCTGGCTAAGAGCGAGAGGGAGAGAGAGGGAGAGAGAGAGAGAGAGTGGGACAAAAGTAACAGCAAGTAACCGTCATTTAGAGAGCCGCCAGATGGCCTCCCCTCTTAAATAGCTCGGCGAGGGTGTGCGTGTGTTAAGTGCGTGTTGAAACCAAACACACGCACATTATTCTCCTACCTTCGACTTGGTTGGCATGTGTGGGGAGGACTGCATTGTTGCTTGACACACTGACTATACGAGTACAACACGCAACATGCTTCGTTCCTTCTAGCACTCGACCCTGCTGCAAGTAACCAAGCATGTGTGCGATCCTGCCAAACACACACACACACACACATACACATACATTGCCATTCCCCAGTTCGCATAATCAGCAACCAGGGGCTATGCTCACACACTGACTCAATTATGCGACGAATGCAAGCGTTGCACTTGCCACGACTGCCACTTAAAAGCTGGGACTCCTGCGCCCGCTGCTGCCCCACGTTCCTCATCATCTCTCCCAGGAAAATCACAATTTATATACAATGTTGTAATATAATTTTTACAGCAAACAGAAGGCAGTGAAGTGGCGCGTTGCGTACCAACAACAACAGGAACAACATTGCAACGACATCAGCACTGCCACATTGTTTGGCGGCGCCGTTGCGTCTTGCCTCTGCGGCTGCGGCTGCCCCTACGACAACGCCCTGAAGTGTGCGACGACCCTCATGAGTTCAGTCGAGTCGTCGGGTAGTCGAGTCGTCAAGCCGTCGAGTGCGTTGGCCATGGTCGGTCGTTTGTGGTAGTGGCTGTGGCAGCTTTATTAAGTCCCTGCAACTGCCATAAATGCGTCGCATTGCTCATTTTATTTATGACTATTTTATTGCACTTATTAATGCAAATTTATAAGAGGACGTAAGAAAACTTTCGCAGGCTGGCATCGAAATAGAGATGGGCGCGTGAACATAAAACAAGGGGACGAAGGGCTACACGAATATCTGAAATAGATGGGGCATTGTTCACAGCTGGCCATGCAAGATTTTTTAATTAAAAACGACAGAAAAATAAAATTTGTTGCATAACATGTTGTAATCATTTTTAATGGCTTATATTTAAAATGTAATCAGCATCAATAAGGTGGAAAATAGTACTTGCTCTGCCACTTTTTTCTCAATTAATTAAATATTTGTCAGCAAACTAAATGCATTAAATGACATTTATAAATTAAACACATATGCGACTGAATTTATTACACATATTAGTGCTCTGCTAACATTACTCA